GGTTGAAAAGTATTATCAAAATTTTCAGTATTATTTGCTGAACTTTCTTGAAATGATAAACTATTCAATCGTGATAAAATATCTTCAATTTCACTCATAAATAAATAATTGTTTTTCTCAATAAATAGTTTCTTAAAATTACTCGTCTCGAATAGACAACAATTTGTTCGCAATGAACGATACTATATATCTTCGCCGAAGTCCTTATACAGAGGGTTCGTGAAGGCAAGAAGGAAATATTTGGCACTTACTTGTAAGTTCCAGTTCCTTCTCCGTTGATTCCTTGCAGCTTCCCTGGGGCTCTGTCGTCTCCTTGTCCGCTCGTTCTGGGTGGTCCTCGAAGGATTCTTGTTGAATTTGTGCTGAAGGGGTTGAAACTCCACGACGCAAAAAGTTCGTTTTCACGCTGCACAAATCCTACCGACTGCGCCAATTAAATGATTGGAACGAGAAAATAACTTTTTAAAAAGAATTTATTTTACAAACTAGAGACGACTGTCTCTTACGAGAGCTACAAACAGAATGATAATTAATATAATGTTAACTGGATGCTAACTGCATGTCGAGATAAGGGATTCCTGGAATATCTCTTACTCAGCTGAATCTCCGTGTGAATGACCGTGTCGTGGTAACTATGACCACGTAACTCACGGCGTGCTCAAATAATACACAAAACAAATACAACCATATATGTGTAAACATAATCACAATATATACACACGCAGAGTTAGTAGAGTGAAGTGAGGCCTCTCGTCCACTGGCGGCGAAAAGTTGCGAACTGAGAAGCAACGAATTCTTGCGAACGCCATTCGTACGAAATCGTTCAATGCACATCGTCCATTTCCTCTAGCCTCAGTATTCGTTCAGATTCGTAGTAGGCGAAATGGCTCTTCGGAACGGGTTTTCTGATAAAAAATTCGCTTTGGAATGATCACCTTTGATTCACCGTCTTATCAGGCACTGGCAATATCGACAAAGGCGCAAAAAGAAAGAAGAGAGAATTTTCTTATCTGTGACATAATCACACATTTCTGCAAAACTCGAAAAATTAAGCAATTTTCGAGGGACGAACTCTTCACAAGAACGGCTGGTTGGTGACATTACGGTAAATGTATAAAGCAAAAATTACTTTTTAATTTCTTTTGAAGAAACTGTATTTTTAATATTGAATGTTAATATTTATCAATATATCGATAGTTACTTTCCCGTTGGTCCCACAAATATTTCGTTTCCTGAATAAGCGAAATTAACTCTTCATAGTCCATTTGTGTCTTTTTTCGCACTAGATCGCAATCAAATCCCAGCAGAACGGGATCGGTTCGCACCTCGTACCTAGTCGGACGAAAACTGACGATCGAAACAGGCTAAGTAGATGCAGTTCCCTACCTATCCATGTGTTTTAACAACAAAACAATTAATGTTTGGTGTCTATACTTGTGTGAAATTCTCTGAGGAATTCAATTTTCAGGTTCAACGAGCTCAAATATGCATTCCCGAGCTCGCAAGGTGCTCTAAAAGGTGACAAACGGCAAAAAAAAAACGTAAAAAACGATCAAAATTACAAAAAATGGCCGTTTAAAACGTGCCCAGCTCCTAAAAAATATGAAAAAGTCATGTAGTTTCATAGGTTTCAGAAAAATAAAAATTTGACGTATTTTTTTTGTAATTTTTTTCCGAACGTGTAATCATCACCTACGCTAATGAATTTTTTCAGGAATTTTCATCAAATAGTGAGCTGGGAATAGATAAATAAAAAAAAATCTTTAGCTCCCCAGCAGGGGGAAGGCGAGTCAAGTGACATATGGACCACCCACCTCGAACATGTTTTTTCGGCCCGATTTACATTTTCTATGGGAGAGTTTGGGTATTGTGGGGGGCATTTTACCTTTCTTAATAGGGGATACCTTTTTCGCTCGACTGTGTAAAGCCCTGAATATCTACAAGAGTTATTCATATGTTCAGTTCCATTTTTTAATAATTTCGCTGAGTGGGAGGTGCTCTATGACAGTGTCGTGCACAATGATGCAATAGACTATAGTATTTTGAGAAAAACTCTCGAATGCTTCGATATCAAGTTTAACATCAACACTGGAACTTTTGATGCTCTCCTCCTTTCTGGAACAATCGATGTCCGTAAAGGCGGTGGAAGTGAGAAGAGGATTATGTTGATTAATGATTTTGTAGTTTAGGCCGAATAGTTAAAATAAACTTACGAAAAATTTCCCTTTGCACAATTCAGATGCATATTTTCTTTGGGATATTTCTCACCGTTTAGAGTGAGCGTTATATTGGTGATATTCAAATGATCGAATATTATTGGATCATTTTTGACTTTAATGTAATCACGATTTTTTTGGAAACACAATCACAGCCAAGGCTTTCGAAGAACGAGGAAGTCTTAACGGCCCATATTTCATTTTTTGCACCTTGTGTGAGAGCAGACAGCATATGAAGTTCCTATTTTCTGAAAGGTATTAGACTGGGAGTGTCAGCTTGGATAGCTTTCAAAAGTTGCAATTTAATTTGATCATGCGTAAAGGTTCGTTCAACTTTGAGTTCGATATTTTCAATTCCCACCTCAACTTCCATTTTGAAACAGTTGCTACTCAAAGAGTGCCAGAAGATGACAGTACTACCAACTGTCGAAAGCGCTCGCAGATAATAAATAGAAGATATAAAGCTAAACATCCTTTTTGTAGAATTTAATATTGAAATACTCAAAATAAAGGAAAATTAGTTGCATCAATCAAAATATATATATATATACGAATATATTCCATAACAGATCTATCTATATATCCATAACTTCTAGACTTCTAGGTGTATCAAAATGATATTTGGTATAGGTGAATGGTATGTGAAGAGGAGATTTTTCACATTACGGTCACTTCCGATTCCACGGGAAATGGCTCCAGTTCTAATTATATGACACATATAATTAATTTTTACATTTCAGGTGAATGGATGAATCCGAATGGAAAATCAATACCTGTAGCAGTAAAGATTCTCAAAGCTGACGCTATTACCGCACCAGGAGTTTTTGAAGACTTTATAAAAGAAGTACAAGCTATGCATGTATTGAGTCATAAAAATTTGATCAGGTAAAATCAAAACTTTTACAAGTTTCATACCAGGATCACTATTTATTTCTGGTTTTCAGGTTGTATGGAGTTGTTCTCTCCCAGCCCATGATGATGGTAACAGAATTAGCTCCTTTAGGATCCTTATTAGACTTTTTAAGGAAACAGTGCCAACACACTCCAGTGCCAATGTTGTGTGAATATGCTACCCAACTAGCTACGGGCATGGCTTATTTAGAGAGTAAAAGGTTTCTCCACAGAGATCTAGCTTGCAGGAATGTTTTGTTATCAGCAGTTGACAAGGTACATGTCATTAAACCAACTGAATTACAAAAAATCCAAATATATACTATATTCAAAATGGTTTGTCAATGTAAGGATAACTTGTAAGACTGCTTGTGTTTCAGATAAAAATAGGAGATTTTGGCCTGATGAGAGCTCTTCCTCAAGAAGAAGACTGTTACGTTATGACAGAACACAAGAAAGTTCCATTTCCTTGGTGTGCTCCAGAATCTCTGAGAAGCAGACAGTTCAGCCATGCTTCAGACACTTGGATGTTTGGAGTTACCGTTTGGGAAATGTTCACTTTTGGGGAGGATCCATGGATGGGATTGATAGGTAATATTCATTTTCCAATCAGAATAATCTGTCACAGTATACAGTGACAGTACAGAACATATCCCTTGAAATTCAAATTATTCGTATTCGTGTTGTGATGTCTTGATTGAATATTTTTCACTTTACTGTCTATGAAAAATGATTTCAAGTAATTATTGTTTTACCATGTGTTCATTTTCGGCAACAATTTCGATTTATAAAATGTTCAAAATAAGCAAAAGATGAGTGAGAAGAAAGTATATCTATACTTATAAATACGAGAGTGTTTTTTAGGTCATAGATGCGCAATAAGAAAGCATTTTCGAATATTTCAACTGGGGGCTCCCACTTTTTCATCACTGTTTCTTCGTACTGCTATATTTTCGGAGGCTGAAATTTTGTATGTAGTGTAACAAATTAAAGAATTCACTGTCTTAAACAAATTTATTTCTAACAATATTTCACTATCACAAACTGATTTATTTTCAACAATTAGCAACTAACGCTTAATTTATTTCCACCATTTGAATTCCTTGTTTAACCGCTCGATTCACTTTCTGAAATCAACTGCCCTCTCTGGACGAGTATAGTCGTTCGGTACTCGTCTTGAATTTTCCCGGCGGTTTTAGACTGCATTCTTTCGCGGTGAGGCATATATTTATTTGATGAATCGGCTGGCGCACACCAAAATCTTGATGCCGCTGCATCTGAATATCGTTTCCAACATGGTTCTCACAATTCTCCAATCCAGCCTGTCGAGCCCAGAGGCTAATTTCGGGATTGCCAAGTACACAAGATTCTGGTCGAGCATTGTGTCCCTCAGTCTGGTAAGATTCCTTCAGACATCTTCATAGGACGGTGTGTCTCGAGAATGCTTTTTGGTCACCAAGTAGAAAACGTTTCTTTGACCTTTCTTCAACTGTAGCACTCCTCCGACTTCAGGATTCTGTTCTCGTAATGTTCGGATCTGATCGAATTTCACAGCGATACCCCAGGACATTTGGAGATCCTCTGACATGCAGTGATCTAGTGCGTAATCAACTGGAACCTTGAAAAGGTCTCATGACTCTTCTTGAGTTACCCCATGTATGACCTTCTGTCCGTTCGAGTATACAGCATTAACTTCTGGAACATCATTTCATCCTCTGGTGATCTGAGGGCGCGAACTTGGTCGTGATTTCCAGCATAAGGAGCCAACCTATTAAAATGGACGACCCTAGGCTCTCGTCGAGGTCGGTAGACGAGGTCATTTATCTTATTTATGATTTTGTACGGACCTTCCCACGAGTTCCACAACTTCGGTGATAAACCACGGCGTAGCTTAGGGTTGTACAGCCAAACTAAGTCATCAATTTCGAATCCTCCAGCATTCGCATGGACGTCATAGACCTTCTTCATCCTATCGCTGGCACTCCGGATGTTCAGACGACTCGTTCATGGATGTCGTCATTCTTTGCCGAAGCTTGCTGACATAGTCTTCCCCCGCAGTTTCTTGTTCTGGCGGCGTCCCAAATTTCAGATCGCAAGGAAGCCGCAGCTCTCGGCCCATTATAATACTGGCAGGGGTTTGGCTGGCTGACTCGTGCACTGCCGAACGATAGACCAACAGGAACAGGTGGAGGTACTGGTCCCAGTCTATTTGATGGTCAGAGACTACCTTGGAGAAGTGGCGGTTTATGGTCTTATTCATTCGTTCCACTATTCCATCAGACTGTGGAAGTAAGGCTGTGGTTCTGGTCTTTCGAATGTCCAACAGTTTACATATTTCTTGGAACAGGTTGGACTCGAAATTTCTGCCCTGGTCCGGATGCAGCTCCAATGGGACACCGAATCGACATATATATTCCTTTACCAGGACGTCAGAGACGGTAAAGGCTTCCTGGTTGGGTAGGGCATAGGCTTCTGCCCACTTACTGAAGTAGTCCATGGCTACCACAATGTATTTATTCCCATGGTCGGACAACTTTTCGAATGAGTCTTGGAATTCCTCAGACCACTGGAACTGGATCTGGCCACGTTAATTCCTGATTCAGAGCCATTGGATGTCTCTATCAATTTTGTACACAAGGCACCAAGTACAGCATTTTCCGCTTTAATAATTTTCTCGGTGTTAGGAGAGATTCTGGAATCTTTCACTATAACCACTTTGGCGCTGTCATAACGCTAAGAGGACACGTCGAGCAAAATTTGTTCATTTCCAACTATCAGCAGTGTTTATTCCTTTTATCCACCACAAATCCGTAGGGGGACATGATGTCTAGTCCCAAAATGAACTCGTCAACGATGTTGGCCACTAATACCTTAGTTTCTATTTCGCAGTTTCCAAGTCTCAGTCTCACTTCAGCTTCTCTATAGACTGTTAATCTATCTCCGGCGGCTGTTTCCAGAACAGGTACTACTGATAATTTCTTCGAACTGCTTCTGTTGGAAATGTCGGCTCTCATTACTGACCTCGTTGCTCCAGTATAGATGGTGAAAAGGCACTGACGATTATTCAGGAATCCGTCGACAACCAAGCTGTTACTGTTGCGTCCAATCATGGAAATCGATGAAACTATGGACACTAATCCAGTGGGTGAAGTTAGGCGTAGGGTAGGCGAGTCTTACTAACCTTTCAACTTCAGCTCCAAACTCTTGCAAGCTTTCTGATGAACCTTGAGTTCTCACCTTCAGTTGAACTTGGAAGACTCGGTGAAGGTACTCATTACCATATCTGATCTCCAAAGCTGATACAACTGCTTCATAATCCTTCTGCCTATTCACTGGAATATTTTGCAGAATTTTGGATGTCTTTCCTCGTAGTGCCAGTATGATAGCTGTTGCTTTCGCCATCATAAGTTTTAATAAAACCACTGCTAGAAAGAAAAGATGTCGATTCCGATTTGCATTTTTCCACAGTAATCCTTTTCGGTTCCGATAATTCTCTCCGAAGTTCCCGGAAAATCTCTTCAAACTTTTTTTCGACTTCTTCAAACTTTTTATCGACTCCTTCAAGTTTCCTTTCAACCCCTTTAATTTTTTTGTCGACTCCTTCAAGTTTTCTTCCGACATCTTCAAACTCCTCTTCAAATTTCCTTTCAACTCCTTCAAGCTTCTTATTGACTACTTTTTTCCAACCCCTCCTTTGTTTCCTGAAACACTTTTCCAAATTCTTCTTGAATTCCTGTACCTCTCCTTTACTTACTTGGGAAGATTTTAAATCTTCCAATAAATGATTGTCTTTTTCCTGTTTTTCCTGAATACCCATTTCGGCGTAATTGTTCTTCCTCACTTCTGCGTTCATCTTCCTCTCTTCTGCGTTTTTCATTCTTCGCCAGGCTCGCTTGCATAGCCTCGAACATTTACTTAAGCTCTTCCGTCTCATTGTAAACGAGATGGAAGAGCTCAAAAAGGCATAAAAAAGAAAATTTTCAGTCAATTATTCCACTTCCGACACCAAATGTTACGTTTTTACCCATGGTTTACCAATAATTGACTACAATGAATAATCAAAGAAGATAAATTTTTGGATTCGAAATGTATTTTCTTGGCTATAAGTCTATTTTGTTTTATATAAGTCAAATATTACAAATGTGCAATGTACTTAATTTGATACTTCCTGTTGCCTGACAAGTGAGCACTGATGATGACGAAAGTCGAAAGCTCTTTGCAAGAATTTTAAAAATTATACACTTTATTACACAAAAAAAACCTCTTCGATTCATTATTATTTTAATGTCTGTCGCCTTACTAGATCACTTCGTGGAATTTTCGCCAAAGTTCCATCGATATCCGTAGCATGTTTCTTACGGCTTCTCGAACGGCAGGTAACATTGGATATTCCCACGCTCTCAGCTACGTCACGTTTGTTTTATGGTTACCGGTGGCGACAGGCGTTATTTCCTTTCGAGCATGATTTACAACAATATCAATAATTTGATTTAATTTCAGTCTAACAAATATAGTCTTTATATTCAGTTTTGAACTTTGTGAAATTTAATTTTTTGAGGGGGTTGGGGACAGAATTATACTTTCGACAAATTCGGTACCTGAAAGACTTCCTGAACACTTCTGATCAGAATTTTATATCGAATATTCAGGTTATGGATGTCCGTATGGTATGTGATTTTCCTATGAAGATATGAAGGTTTTTTGTTACAATTATTTTATGGAAAAAAACAGACAGCGTGAAGTAACCTTCTTTTCTCCATGTTCAGCCACGAGTTTTGAACTTTTTGAATCTTATTTTTGTACTGATTGGTTGAAAATAGGCCATAAAGAACATCCGCATAATCGATAACTGAAAGCACCAAAGATTCACGTAAGGACTTTTTCACATAATAAGGCAGAATATGTCTGTTACCATAAATGATTTTCAGTGCAGAATAGGCACGTTGTGAGAGTTTATTTATAAATTTTTCAAATGTCAGATCTACATCCATCAAAACACCAAAATGTTTTATAACAAAATATAGTGACTCATTTCGAATGCAGATATTCGCAGAACCATTCATTATGGAATGGTGAAATCTTGGACCAAAGATCATTACATTTGATTTACTAGGGTTTATAAATAAACAGTGGTCCGTTGCCAATTCAACAAATCTATTTATATCTGCATTGATAATGTCACAAGAATTGTCTGCCATTTTCGTCAAAAAACTATGGTATACTTGAGTATCATCAGCATATAAACACCTGACAAGTGTGAAGAGCCTATTGGATGTATATAATAAACAATGAAGGGCGAAGTATGGATCCTTGAGGTACCCCTGATTTGAGAATAAGATATCTGAGTAGTATTTCTCTATACTAACCAGTTGCTGTCTATTTCTTGAATAGTCCGTTAATGATGCAAGAGCGTTGGCAGAAAAACCATTATAATCCAAAATGCTTAACGCCCGGCTGAAATCTAGTAGGACTAATACCGTACATTTGTTTTCATCTATTGCTTTCATTATATAATCCGCAATATGTAGAAGGGCGGTTGAACAGCCATGCCCTTTCCAAAATCCCGATTGAATAGAATGCAACAGAGAAAA